AGCAACTATTTAGCAGAAGCCAAATAAAAAATCTGAATCATAAGTTCTTTAAAAATAAACATTCACAAAATTAATAAATTAGAGTGAAATACAGTTCCTCTGCTAAAAGTTCTGACCAGAAAAAGGAGTCCTTCAGCTGTAGACATGACTACACAGAGGTGCTTACTTTATTCTACCACACAGAGAAAAATAAGCAATGGTTAAGTTAGAAACCAATTCTAAAAAAAACCAACTCTCTCTATCAAAGAAAGCATGGAAGCAAAAGAAAGATGAATTTGAGGGACACATAAAAAGTGCTTAGAAGGCCAATGTGCAACTGCTACAAGTAGGTAATCAGGCACTCAAAGCCAAAGGAGATGCCCATACACATGACTACCGATACAAAATGGCCAAACAACTAAGCAAACATGAATCCCGGTGAATTAATTCCAGGAGATAATGCAGAGCAGGCTCTGCACTGTTTTCTCTCTTCACCTGTGGGCAGTGGAGAGCTGCATGTTTTAATGATCTGGGGATAGTGCTTACTTATACTCAAATGTCAGAGTTTTCATTTTTCTTTAAAATGAATGTACACAAATATGAATAAGCATTATTTTAATAGGCTTTTTCCCCCACTACAAGAGATGAATATTTTTAAAAAAGGATGGATATTACCAGGCCTGAGGTGCATGTCTATAATCCAGCATTCTAGGGGCTGAGGCAAGAGGAACACAAATTCAAGCCAGACTTACTACATATCAAGACTCCAGTCTCAAAACAAAAAAACCACAAAGATGAACATGTTGAGATGGGCTCTGTGACTTAGTTATACTGCCTGTAACAAATCTACACAGTGCAAGGAGTTATCTGGCACCAAAATATCACACTGTAAGTACTGTGGTTCCTAACACTCAAAGTTAAAAGAAGAAAGCAGCCACCTCTACAGACAACTGTACAAAACCACACACAGGGCGTCAGCAAATGCTGCCTTTGCTGCTTGCTAAAGAACCACAAGAAAGACTGCAATGGTTTTGCTTCTGTTTCTGCCTCTATTCATATAGCCTGGGTGACCGTAAGTACTCACAGCTCGGGCATAGGCACTGAGGGCTTGCTGGGAGATCTTAGGGTTCTGGCCGGTATTGAAGTAAAGAGAAAGGTATGCATTCCCCAGGATATCTGAAAGAGACACAGTGGATCATTTCAGAGCTCACGGCTAAGATCTGACCTATTCTAGTCATCCTTCAAAGTCTATTTGAAAGGCTCCACTTCTGACCCAATCCAGGGATGACCTATACCAAAAACTGAACTAGGATACAGAGTCTACAGCCATACCACCCTGAACGCGCCCGATCTTGTCTGAACTAGGATACAGATAAATATGGGCCCCCACCCAGCCAACCAAAACCTGAACAACTTTACAAAAGCTCTGCCTTACTTAGATGGAAATATGTGTCTCCTCTCTTGGATCAAAAGATCCAAGAGCTCTAAGAACAGTGGTTCATCAAAATATTTCTTGGGCTTCTTTGAAACAGGTGCCCTAGCTTCACCCTCAGTCAACTCAAGATGGACACTAGATGACTGCAGTATGAACCACTGCTTCAGAACTGCGTTGGTGACCTCCTGAGAGCACTCACACCAGGAGCGGCCGTCGAGCACATCCATCTGCACAGCTAGCTTAGCTTGCCGGACACTGTCCATGACATGGCGAGAATGCTCGTCTCCATTGTCCGTCCGCAGCTGGCGAAGCACCATCGACAGGTTTTGTAGGGAGACTTTGTTCTTGCACTACAGATGGAAAGGGCACATGCTCAACCTCCCTGACTCTATCTCCCTTCTCCTGATCTACTCTGACCCCAACCTTCTGCCACATCAAACTTTCAGTCTTCGTTCCTGCTGCCGCCTGCTGCTGTGACGCACAAACACCAGGTCAGCTTGATCGCTAATTCTTCTTCACTCCTCGTCTTCCTCTGAACCCAATCCCAGCACCATTCTCCTTTCTTCCATGGATTTGCTTTGGCCTGCGCCTGACTTCCTCACCACCCATCCTGCCTTCTGATTCTGTTCTCCTAATTCAAGCTCAGCTCTGACTGGCATTCTTGGCCTAGCAAAATTCAGAGAACCAAAGAGACCCCACCCTTCTCATCTGTTTTCCGAGGAGGTGGAGGGCAGCTCACGTGGGTAAGGGCTCCTGAGAAGCAGGTGTGGGCAGCTGCGACATCCCCTTTCTTCCAGTAGACCTCACCCAGCTGGTTCCAAGCTTCCACCAGCTCAGGCTCCAGCTTCACAGCCTTTGACAGAAGCTCCTCCGCCTTCGGGCTATACTCCGGAGTCACATTCAGTGCCTTCCCCGTCAGCATCAGAGTCTGCGCCTTGCCCTGGACAGAACCTAGGAAGAAAGGAAAAAGGGAAAGGGAAATGGAAAAGCCCAAGCACTGGAAAACCAAAGCATATTCTCTCCAGATACTACCTCATTCCAGCTCTAGGAGGGAAAAGAATTAAGGAAAATCTTTACAAACATACTATTTATATACTCCTATTACATTGAGAATACTGTGTTAAATAACTGGGTAATAAAGACAGCATTGTTTCCACCCTGGAGAAGCTTACAACCTGGTGAAGACAAAGTAAATACGTAGAAAATTAAAACAATAATGAAAAGAATATGGCATGCACATGATAAATGGGTAAAAACTCAAGGGAAAGAAACCCCACTAGATTCTCCAGGTTAGAACATGATATAGACACAGAAGCAGAAATACATGTTGCACATTCATGGAGACTGAGCAGTCCAACCTGAATGAGATGGAATGTTCCTCAATAAACAAGTGGTCAGAGATGAGGTCAGAAAAAGACACATTAGACACAAGCAAAAAGGCAGACAAAAGACAAGATTAAATGCAGGAAGTAATGACTTACAAAGATAACAATGACCACAGTAAACTAAACTGGAAGTAAAAAGCCAGAAAGATCAGTTAATAAGATCACTCTAACACTTCAATCAACAAGTACGCTCTTTTATTTCACACCATTTCTGCAATCAAATTTTAGGAAAAGGTTAAAGAATGAAAGTTTTGCAGGCATGTGGCACATACCTGTAATCACAGCACTCAAGAGGCTGAGGCAGGAGTATCACTGTGAGTTCGAGACCAGCCTGAGCAACAAAGTGAGTTCAAGGCCAGCCTGAACTGCATAGTGAAACCCTGTCTCAAAAAAAAAAAAAAAAAAAAAAAAAAATTAAAGGTTCTATCCTGAGCAAATGCTCTTAAAAGAGATATTCTATTCTTCCAACCTACAGCAGTCACAAACAGGACACCAAAAGGTCTAAAGAGCGAGCAAAACTCTATCACCATTCAGTGAAGGGCAGGGGTTACATATTCCCAGGGCTCATACCCAGGACTTCCTCCATCTGCTGCAGGGTCTTCTCCATCTCTTCTTGCACATCCTGCTGCTTTCTCCCAGCATCCTCAACACTATGAGTCTCAAAATAGCAGTCTCGAAATGAATACAGCTGATCCACCAGTTCCTAAAAGGAGAAGAATGATATCATTAACAGGAGAGAGACCACTTGACAAGGAAATTTGCACCAGACTAGCCACACCTGCTCTGGTCCAAGAAATACTGATTTTCTTACCTCACTTGGGAACGGGACAATAGAGAGATGAATAATAATAGGTCTATCACAATGCCACAGATCATGCAGAGAGCAGCTGGCATCCCAGGCCCACTCTCATGGTCCCAAGTTATCCCACGCCAGTTTCTGCACTATGACGACAATTCTGACTCTAGCTCCAGCAGTTTCCAGTATGACCAAGCACTTCTTCTACCATCATGCGAAGGGAAACACTGCACCCTGAGACAAAGCAAAGATCAGGCTATCCAGTACTAACCTCCAAAGAACAAAACTTTGAAATTTATCCTTAACACTGGCCAAGTGTGAGGGAGGCCCTGGGTCTGATCCCAGCACAGGCAAAAAAACAAAAAATATTTCTTAGCCAAAACAACAGAAAAAGAGTTCTTAGCCAAAATCCCTGATTTTTCACATGCTGATATTTAAAAGTAAGGCAGGAGAATACAACATGACCTTCCCAAGATGATAACCGTGTGAGAAAGGCATTGCTTTCTTCCACAAACAGATCGATTTGAACTTGGCCACCTTGGTATCACTGCAGGGCTTTGTTTCTTTAAAGGCTTGGTGTGGGTCTTCTTGACTCCCCAAAGTCATTTTTAGTTGTCTTGCATTTTTCACAAGTAAATGTTCTCTTTCCTCTTTGAAACATCTCTGAGTCTTCTTGTGATACCAAGCAAGCTTTTACTATCTATTCATTCTTTCCTGAAACCATACAGTAGCAAAAACATATACAGTCTAACCCCATCAAGTTTCAACTACCTACACAGAGCACCCTGAATTCATTCACCAGTCTCCATTCCACTCTGACCATCCCAGACTAAATCAGCTCCATTATTTGCCTAGACAACTGCAACAGCTTTTTAACTGGTCATCTTCTACACTCCCATTCACGTCACTGCAGTCAGAGTGAGCTGATAAAAATGTACAAACGCCACAAATTCTCCAAGAGTTCCCAATTGTGGATAGAATAAAATCCACCTCCTTACCATGGTACGTGGACTGCGCGAGCTGACCTGGCACAAGCTGCACTTCTTAACACACTCCCTCCTCCCAACGGAGGCCACACTGGCCACACTCAGTTCTCAGACTTGTTAAGCTCCATTCCAAGCTCAGGCCTCTTCATGGGCTTCTCCTTATGCCTGAGCTCTTTCCCCAGACATCTACATGACTCACTCTTTATCATCACTGAGATCTCAGCTCAAATACCAACTTCGCAGAGAGGCTCCTCGGAACTACCCAAACCAAGGTATTTTCACCCTTTCCTCTACCACTGAATCACACCCATATTTCTCTTCATAGCACCAATCATTTGAAGTTGTGTGGCCCATTTGTTAACTGCCTGTTGTCTGTCTCTACCACTGCAAGAGAAATTCCATGATGGAAGGGACTGTATCCATACTGTCTAGAGCTACACCTGAACATAGTACAGAGGGTGGAACACGATAGGCTGTCTTTACATTTAATGACTGAATTAATGCACCATCCCTGTCTCTAACAAAATATAGATGTGCTTATATTTAATTTAAAATCCTATACAGAGGAGGATGAAAAATTGTACAGACTGGCAGCAAAATGCAGCCTGACCAGGACCTGGAATACCACCTGTTGAAGGAAAGGAAAAGAAGTAGATCCCCAGGAATAGGGAGGGAGCTGATAGGACAACTACAAACTACAGAAACACAGGAGAAATGGAGCACAACACGGAGGGGGAAGGAAGGAAGGAAGGAAGGAAGGAAGGAAGGAAGGAAGGAAGGAAGGAAGGGAGTGAGGGGAAAAGGGAGGGAGGAGGGAGGGAGGGAAGGAGGAAGGGAGGAAGGGAGGAAAGTGGGAGGGAGGGAAGAAGGGAGGAAGAGAAGGGAGGGAGGGAGGGAGGAAGGGAAAAGCAAAAGAAGCATTAGGAACAGAAAAAAGAAAACTCCCAGAAAAGATAACCTGCCTCTGCTAACACACGCTGAATAAACTGTAAGAGGGCCCATGGCTCCAGAAAGAAACAAGGGGCCAGCAGGCAGCACTAGCCCCAAGGAAAGTGCACAGCCTTTGTAAACTGCAAACACCGCACGGTTTATCCTGAAAGGCACTCCTTTGCCTGGCTGGCTACAGTTAAGTCAAGAACCATTTGGGGAAGGAGTTTATTAAGACTGAGCTTCGGAGAAACAACAGTGACTGGGTAGGGATCGGCCACAAGAGACCACTGAAGAGAGGGCTGGGCTGGATACAGAGAAGTCACAGCGCAGGCTGGAAAGGACACAGGCCCCGCCCTCTGCACTGAGAGCCAGGCCAGTCCGGGCGGGCGGAAAGTGCCTACACTAAATCCAACACCTCCTTCACCTCCCTACCCTACTGCCCACATCCAACACAGACCTCAGAGACCTACGTGCTTCCCCGTCTGTCAGTGTGAACCTGGTTACGCTGGCTTGGATGACTGCCACAGGCATGAACACAGAGGCCTCTGGGGTCGGGTGGGGGCACCTCACAAATGCACAGGCCATAAAGCTGGGTGGAGAAGGCTGTGCCTTGGGGCACACCGTGGGACACAGAACCGGGAGCGGGCAGTAAGTATGGCCCTAGGGAAGACACTGTAAGGATCCGCTAGGGTCTTGCTGTACCCCAGGAAGGAATGGCAGTGAAAATGAGGAAAAATAGACAAGAGACAAAAAGCTGGGGTCAGGTGGAGGTCCTCTCTCCTGAACGGAGAAGGGGACTCCCCAAGAACAGCAGAGTGTTTATTTATACCCTCGAGAGATTGGTTAACTTCCGCCTCGCTGCCCAGCATCAGGTAAGGAGCTGGAAGGGCCTGTTTCCGAGCTTCGAGGAGCTCCCCTCTGCTCAGGCTGGCTCCATCCTGCGTGGTAATTCCTTTCCAGCTTCCGCTGCTCCCAACAAGACACCACTGACCAGTCACACACAGCAACAAAGGCAGGGCCTAATTCACCATTCACACGCAAAAAAACATGAATGTTGAAACAAAATAGGCCTTAATAGTGACTCGGGATCCCAATATAACCGAGTGGTGGATCCAACAGATAGATTCCCACCTCTCATGTACAGCAAGCAAAGAACTGCAAAGCAAATACCCAGTGGTAAAAGATCACAAACAGAAAAACCGTGCCAAGACCAGAGAGGAAAAAGGGCCCAAAGAGGGGCATGTGTGTGCTGGTCGGGTTATACTGGAATGGTGCTAGGGTGCCAGCCAAGCTCAAATGGGTGGAGGAGAGAGATTAAGGAGGTATGGCCCTAGGGTGCTGTCCAAACTCAAATGGGCAGAGGAGAAGAGAATCCTCAGGCACTCGGTTCTATCTGTACTACCTTCCCCACATCTGGTTTATTTTCAATACTGAAGATCCTGGGGGGAAAACACTAATTCAAAAACAGATGAATTTTCTTTGAACACATTTACTTCTTCCTTCTTGGTTTTTTGAGATTTGGGGATTGTGTTTATTTTCTTTCTTTTTTCTGTTTTCTTGTTCTTTTGTTACTTTTATCTAATTCTATTAATTTTCATTTTTACTCCTTAATAAGATCTTTTTTTTTTTTCAGACAAGGTTTCGCTATGTAGCTCAGGCTGGCATTGAACTCACTTATGACACCAGGCTGGCCCAAAATTCATGGTGATCCTCCTGTCTCAGCCTCTCCAGTGCTGTGATTACAAGAATGTGCCACCACCTGGCTTCTTAATAAGATCTTTTATCTCACTTTTCTCTTCTCATCTTTACTTTTGAAATTTTATGTGTTTCATTTTCCCCTTCCCCACCTGCTCCATCCTTACTAGTATTATAATCAAGCTTTATAAGTCTTTAGGTATTTAGTTGATGTTATGCTATTACTGTTGAATTTGTCTCTATTGTGAATGGAGGCATAACTGCTCCACTTAGGAGGTATTTACTGTATGTCAATATTTGGTTTGCCCCTGTCTATAATTACAGATTCTACTGTTAAATATGTGGAACACTGGTAACTTTTACTGGTTCTTATGGTATGGTAATACCCCATTTGTCTTTGACTATTATTGTGCTGATTTTGCTGCAACTGCCAGGATGGCACAGTTGTTGCTATTAATTGTTCTTAACTGTATTCCAATATCCGATTTGTCTTTGTGTCACCAACCATACCATGCTTCATTTCTGGAAAACTGGATGTTGGGACTGTTATAACCTTGCACTACATTGCTGTTTTGTATGCGCCTGAGTAGCCATGATAAACATGTTGTGTTAGACCAAAATAATATTTTCCTTAAAGGACATAATGAAAAAACCAGCTGTCCTTGCTGATAAACTTGTTGTGTCCTTGTGCAACTAAGCAGAGCACCACCTGCTTTCCTATCACCCCATCCCCTCCCTTCTTGCAGTTTTTGTGCTTTCCTATCACCCCATCCCCTCCCTTCTTGCAGTTTTTGTGCTTTCCTATCACCCCATCCCCTCCCTTCTTGTGGTTTTTGTGCTTTCACCCCATCTCCTCCCTTTCTGCGGTTTTTGTGCTTAAATTCAGAGCGCTTAGTCTGTGAGGCGTGCATTCTCGGGACCGATCCCAAGAGTCTGCGTCAGCCAGCCCTGGAATAAACACCTTTGCTCCCCAAATTTGGAGTCTCTGAGTCTTGGCTTCCCACGGGGGTCTTGAGACCACCACAGGGACAATTACACCACACTCACCCTCCCCAAATTAACACAGAGGGTCAGATCTTGGAACAAAGACAAAGACCCACAGTTAGCCACACCCAGAGCGCAGCACCGGAAAGCAGACACTAACTAAAGAAGTCCACACTAGCAACAAAGTTACTTCTACTATAATCCACCTGCAAACTTCCACACACACACACACACACACCCATTAAAAAAAAGAAAAGAAGAAAAGAAAATACGAGAACACACACCAACAAAATACCTCCCAAACCCCCAACTCATCCAAAGCTGACCCATGGGTATCAGTGGGGAGAAAAATCAAAAGCAAACAACTGAATTACACAGAATGATAAATCAGGAGATATAAGACAGGTCATAAGGGGTTCTGCAAGCTCAAACATGATATAACTAACCAAATAATAGACTTAATAAACAAAACAATCAGTGAGCTTATAGAAGATACTAATAAAAAGCTAGCTGAGGTAAGCAAAATGATACAAAACATGAATGAGCAATTTAGCAAAGAATCACAGTCCATGAAAAGATACCACAAAAAAATCCAGGAGATTAAAAAAAATTCTACTGAAATATGGGCTGCAGAAGTAACCAATGTTAGGATGGTGTGAGAACTACAAGATAGGATGGAAGCAGGTAACCATATACTGAGGGATACCTTAAAACAAAAACAGAACTAGCAAATGGACTCAACAGCTGCCAGATGATACAAAAATGAGTAAGATTAATTGCAATTAGTGAAAAATCAGAAGACAGCACGAACAGCACAAAAACCTGTTTACAAAAACAATACCAGAAAACTTTCCAAATGTGGGAAAAGAATTTAACAAACAGATAAGTAAAGCATTTAGACCCCAAACAGCACAATCAGAAAAGAACTTCTCCATAACACATCATAGTCAAAATTCCAGAATCCAACACAAGACAAAATCTTAAAAGCTATTAAAGAAAAGCAACAAATCACTTACAAATAAATGCATTAGAATTACAGCAGAATTCTCAGCACAAACTTTGAAGGCCAAGTGAGACTGAAATGTTTCAAGCCCTAACAGAAAACAACTCCCAATCCAGAGTGATAAATCTTGCAAAACTATTTTTCAAATTGATAGAGAAATAAGGTCTATGACAAAGAGCACCTTCAGAAATGCCAAAACATCTAGAAGAATGAAAACATCAAGCAATGTGAGTAGTTAAGCAGATGGGAGAAAAACAAGGAATCAGCAACAGGAAAATAAGGCAATGCCAGGAATAAGTCAATACCTTTCAGCAATAATTCTCACCGTGAATGGTATCAACTCCTCAATCAAAAGTCAGACTGGCAGTCTGGATCAAAACACAAAGCCCAGGCCGGGCGTGGTGGTGCACGCCTGTTATCCCAGTACTTGGGAGGCTGACACAGGAGGCTCACTGTGAGTTGGAGGCTAGCCTAACCTACAAAGTGAGTTCAAGGCCAGCCTGAACTGCACAGTCAAACCTTACCTCAAGAAGACACAAACACACACACAAAAAACCACAAAACCCCACCAGATGTTGTGGTACACACCTGGTGCTAATCCTAGCACCCGGGAAGCTAAGGCAGGAGGACTGTCCCAAGTTCAAAGCCAGCCCAGGCTTCAGAGTGACTTCAAGGACGGCCTGAGCTATAGTGAGACTCTGTCTTAATAAAAAAAGAAAACACAAAAGCCAACAATATGCTATATATAAGAAACACATTTAATCCAAAAAGAAATTCATAGATTAAAACTCAAAGGATAAAAGGATGGAAAACAATAGTCAGTGCAACAGGAGCTTGAAAACAAGTAAGAATAGCTATCCTAATTTTGGATTTCAAGCCAAAACTGATCAGAAGAGGCCAAGAGGATTACTACATAATTAAGGGAACAGTTCAACAGGAAGAGACAGCACTTATAAATATACATGCACTAAACACCAGTGCACCCAAATTTATAAAACAAACACTACAGGAAATAAAAGATCATATAAACCTCAACACAATTATAGTGGAGAGGGGCTAAATATCCCATTATCACAATAGATCAACTAGACAAAATATCAACAAAGACATGTCAGAATTGAACCACGTCTTTGAATAAATGGACTTAATAGATGTCTACAGGTGTTCCATCTAACAACAGAACACACATTTCTTCTCACCAGCACACAGAACATTCTCCAAAATAGACCACATATTTATAGCATGCTTAAGCAAACACAAATGCTTAAATAAGTACAAAAGAATCAAAATTATCCCATTCATATTTTCAGCTCATGGTGTAATGAAACTAGAAACTAATGGCAAAAACTCCCGCAGGATTATGTGAACACATGGAAAGTACATAATACACCACTGAATAATCAGTGGGTCACAGCAGTGAAGGAAGACCTTCGTTCCTAGTAATGACAGTACGATATACCAGAACCTGTGGGACACAGTGAGAGCAGTCTTAAGAGAGAAGTTTAGGGCCGGGGACATAGCTCAGTGGCATATGCACCTGCCTGGCAAGCACAAGGTCCTGAGTTTGATTCCCGGTACCAAAAAAAAAAAAAAAAAAAAAGAGAGAGAGAGAGTTTAGCATTGTGAATGTCCACATCAGAAAAACAGAGTGCACCCAAGTAACCCAATGATGCTATTCAGGGCTCTGGAAAACAAGAACGATCCAAACCCAAACAGGGTACAAGTAAGGACGTTATGAAGATCAGAGGAAAAATTAATGAAATTGAGACTAAAAACAATATAATGGATCAATGAATCAAATAACTGATTCTTCAAAATAAAATAAACCTTTAGCCAATCTTATTAAAAAAAAAAAAAAAAGGCCGGAGGAACAAGAAAACAGCCTGTTGCTAGACACAGGTGCAAGTCTCTCGGTCCTTCTTTTCAATCCTGGCCTTCCT